GCTCCCCAGGCGCCGCCAACCCTAGGGACGGCCCTGAAGTTACCTGTAGTAATCAATAATTTTGAGACTTTTCATACATGAAACATTTATAAGGGCCTAATGCTAATCTATTAATCCTTACCCAGTCACTTATAATTTATTGCTTCATGTTAGTTTGTCCAGTGAAAACTAGTAACTTCCGGTACAGTAAGTTTAGTTAAGAGTTTGAATTTTACCTAAGTCAGGCTATTGCCTTTTCTTAAGATGAGGGAAAATATGATAGGCCTAGGTCTAGACAAAACCTGATAACTTATTACGGTACTTCAGTATTAAACGGAGGCCACATTTTGTCAGCGCGCTGCGGCGGTTATGTTAGGTTGGGTTATCGTAAATATTATGTGTGTAGGACTTTCCTCGCTTCGTTATGAATCGAACGATACTTTCTATTACGATAACCCAACCTAACATAACCGCCGCAGCGCGCTGACAAAATGTGGCCTCCGTTTAATACTGAAGTACCCTTATTACTTCCACACATAAAAATCTGTTGAAATGATAACTTAACCCTCCCAGTGTTACTTGACGAAAATTCGACAAGCAGCACACTTTGTGTAGTGTTACTTGTCGATTTTTCGACACGCAGACATCGTTTACGGCGAAGGCTCTATGACTGACTGAATCGGATTGAACTGGATCGAGTTAGGTATCGTTCTTTCCGTAATATTCTAAGCTTTCCCCAGAGGTCTGTCTCTAAGCGCTATTCATTTTAGTTCCGAAAATATTGTGGCAGACAGCTGACGTGCGTGTATTTGTAAACAGCTAGGTTACTCGGACCGATGACTGATGTGTTTTATTACGTTTATCATTGTTTTAGTGTTAAAAATCAAAAGTAGTGATATACGTGGTGCATTATAAGAAGATTTAAGTGGTTTTGAAGTGCTGGTTGATGATCCTGAAGAAGTAGGTAGTGATATTGATGTAAATTATCAGCCAGATTCCTAGCTATGGTTAGGCTATGCATTCTTAGCTAAACTCTATGTACTGAAATCAGTTTTTGCCCATAACTTATTTATTTGCAAATCTACTTCCTTAAATTATTATATATTTTTAATCCTCATAAAATTTAGAACAAAGTGGCTATTTTCAAATATTTATAGGCCTATAATTTATACAATTTTATTGAGCGCAAACTTATTTTTTTTTTCAATTTTTCCAAAATAATTTTTTTTTTTTACCTAAATAAATTTTTTGAAACAAATATTCCTTATGTTTTATGTATGATATTGAAGCCCATGATTTTCCAAACAAAATGGTATATAGAACATTAGAATTAACATTGTTTTAAGTTTCTCAGATCTGTTTTAATAAAACCTTGCAAATGCGCCAAAAATAGGTGGACATTAAGGCCTAAACTATGGACACTTGGAGGTTAAGTAACTTAACTCTAAACATTTTTCAGCTTAGGAAGCACTTCACAACTCCAGCGTTTCCACCAAAGCGCGTGCGATGTTCACAACCGAAAGTACTAGAACAGAGACGACAAGGCTTAGAACATTACCTGCAAACAATGATGAAGTTTGGACCAAGCCGTGCTAAGATCATGAACTTCCTTGGTGTTCCCGATGATGGCAATAGAAGGTAGGAATCTATCAACCATACAACTTTTGGTTTTTTCACTGTTCTACCTTTATATGACCTACCTTAATTGAGCGGAGCGAGCCAAGCTCTTTTACAAGGTACACTCCTGCTTTCAATCAAAACCGGCATTTTTCAAAAATACAATCTTTTCTCTATTTAGTGGTTTTTTTCTTGGAAGATTAACATAATTTATAATAATTTAAAGGGCTAAGTTACAACATAGGCCTATTGTACTACTAAATGTTTATCAAAATCCTTCGGGCCATTTTAGAAAAAATCTGATTTTTCTGTTATTTTATGGAATAATCACCAATAAAAATCAAAATTTCAAATAAATAAAAGAAAAATGCCTGGAGATACTATGGATCTACCTACATTCATAATTTCATCAAAATCGGACCACAGGTTAAGTGTGTAGCTCTGTACACATTCACACATGCAGAAACACACTGACATCACTTCGAAAACCACTTTTTTGGGTCCAGGGGAACCCAAATCGGATATAGCCTATCCACTCAAAACTCAAAAATTTTACTTTCTCCATATACTATGGTAGGGGGGGGGGGAAGTAACTTAAAAGGTAAGTTAAACAAAAGAGACGTAACATGTCTCGTCGTAACATGTGTGACGTAACATGTGTGGTGAGTCGGTGGCTCAGTTGGTAGCGTCACGGACTTTGGGCCCAAGGCAGAAGTGTCGTAGGTTCGGATCCTGGTCACTGCCACAAACTTTTTATCAGTACAGTTCACCTTTGTACTGTACCGGCTCACCCCTTGCTTTGCTGGATACGTTCCACGCACAGATCTGTAGTCTATGTGGACGGGCAAATGCAAGGTTAAAAGAGGCCGCCAACCTCTTTTTTGAAAAAAAAAAAAAAAATTATTGTCTATGTATTGTTGGGAGGGTGGTGTCCAAGAGTCCTTATGGGCTAGCCGCCACTGATTACAAGCAATTTCTTCACTTTGCAGAGATTACAAATAGGCACTACAGAACAAAAGGAAAGAACAATTGAATTAAATTAATATCGTTGAGCATGAAATATTATAAACTGATATAGGCTACCAATTAGTGCATAGCCTATGTGCCATTGACAAAAGATAAGTACATACATACTGCAAATAGACATCCCATTTATGAAACACTTGTAGCCTGTCATTGACTTATTTAATACCCTTGCCGCAGCAATTTCTAGTTGACATTCGCTTAGTCTGTAGGGTTTGCTGCGGCGGGGGTATTTTGCTATTACCTCTTTAGAAAGTTATAACTTAAAGGTGACAATGAGGCCTACTGATCGAAATCAGATAATGGGATTATTTGTTATCTTCTGATATGGAGTGGTGACAGCAGAAAGGAGGAGAGGAGAGGGCTAATAATTGTTGATAACAATTTGTTATGTTATATGAGTAGCATAAATGCCTCAACATCTCCAACCTGAACCTTTCATTTACTGTATAGCCTATCTTGTGTTTTGCAGTGAAGCAGCTAATACAGTGTCTCACAGGCCAGTGTTCAGAGTGTATTTGAACTCTTGTCTACACCCTTCACACAACAAACTGCCGGATATTATCACTGAAGGGGTCTTATCAGCTCTTTATACTCATTAGTTGATATTATTTACTTTACCTTTATGTATTATTGTTTATTTTGATCATGACTATCTGTCATTGTGATATTTTTATTATTTGTTATCTACGTAGTATATAATAGTTATGAATAAACATTTTGTACTGAGATAAATTGCGTTTATCTGTAATCCCATTAGTGTACACTATAGTATTTCTGAATAATTCGCTGTTTTTTTATAAATCCAACTTTTCAAAACTAGAATCAATTATATAGAGGCTGGCACAAACCTTCTGATAGTTCAACGTATCTACAACAATTGCTTACTATCTTTTTGAATACCAGGAACAGTAATCTTAAACTTCTAAGTAAATGGTGAACAGCAGAGGAACAACATTTGAATAAATAATACAAAAGATTTATTAAAAACAATTTAATAGTAAATATAGTTTAAATAATATTAATTAAACAAAACAATTGTCAATAGGCCTAATCGTTTTATGTTCAATGTAAATACAGGAATGTTAAAGCTAAAGAATCCACCTAGTTGCATTATTAAAAAGATTATGATCGTGAGTGAAATGATTGAAGCAATTTATTAGATGAAATGATAAGCAGTTTGGCACAATTTAGACTAACGGATCATCTGCACGCCTTTTCCCTTCCACTGTTCGTTGAAGTCAACTTTGCAGCCAAGGTCGCGCAAAGCAGACTTGGCGTCGTAGTCGAGCTCCTTGTGTTGGCGTCGCGCAGCATTGATAAGCTCCTCTGCGCCGAGCTTCAGGAATGGCTTACGCAGGTCCGGGCTGCGAGCAACAATGTTGCGAATCGCCCAACAGCAGTTTCTCTGCAAACACAAGTTCAGGTTCTTACAGTTCGGTTATTTATTTTTTTTAAGTAAGGTCTACTTGTTTTATTTGAGACTTTTACTTCTTATGATGTTTATAACTCACAAATAGAAAAAAAAATAATGTACACGAACAATGCTGAAATGTTGTATAAACACAGTTTATACATCAAAATGTTTGTATGGTTCTTTTCTTTTCATATCCGACCAACAAGCCTTTATAGTCACCAGGACTACGGACTTGCAAGAAAACAGATGTTTCCAATTCTTGAACTAACAAACAGCTGTTTGAAATAAAGTACAATTCAACAATACTACGTTAACAATTTATTGGAATTTAAATCAAAGCAAATTTAGTTGTTATTCATGAGAGAGAAAAACAGTCTTATTTTTCTAACCTGGACTTTCAACTCTTTCGGGTGAATTTTCATTATCTGGATAACAGCGTCGGGTGCTCCCTGCTCAACAAACACCTTACTGTTGTCTTGACTGCGGAGAGTTAATATACACAGACAGCCAAGTCCTGCTAAACAAACTGGCACAGATTTCTGCAACGAGATACAAATTGTGGAAATTAGTTAAGTCATTGAATTGACAGTGCTACAGCTTTGTACACTGTAGAAATAATGAACACACTTTGCATTCTTTAGAAATTCAGAAATAAATTGGCAAAAAACAAATGATTAATAATAAATCATTTGTTTTTGCCCTTTAATTATTTAAGGGCAAAAACTGAATGAGTGAAAAGGAGAACTTTCTGGCATCGTAGAGAAAATTCAATCCAACACCCTATGTTGGGGTGTCTTGCTAGTTTAGTAGTAGGTAGTAGTCAAAATCACAGACTTAAATCTGAGAGGGATTCAATCACATTTCTGCAAAAACTAAATAAAAACACTTTGGCTGCTTTCCCTTGAAAGGGATTGTGATTCCTCCATAAAAAATGCTACTACACAAGACACAACAATTTTTTAAGCCTTTGCAACTTCTGTGTATTCTCTTTCCTAGATGGAGTCATAAGAAAACCATTTGCAGCCTAAATAATACTATTCAATCATGTGGTAAATTTTTTACCAAATGGATTGTTTTGCAAATCATCGTAAGGATTAATCTTATATTTGAGAAGTCAAGTTTAAGTAACTAGGCTATGTTGTAAAGCTCATCGCTATGAATGGGTTACCTGATGCTGATGTAGGGCCAACATAACAAGGGCGTGAGCTCCAGACTGCATTACTTTGAGTTTGACGTCGTCATTGCCAGACAAAGCCTTTAGCAGTAACAGGGTGTTGCGAACTATCCTCTGTAGACAGAAAAATAGACTTCCTAAAAATTATCTTTAGCTGACCTCATGAGTGAGTATGTTTAATCTATAGTAACATTTTATACTGTATTGTAAATAAGAACAACATACTTTTAAATTCTTAAATATTATGTACCTATTAATACACTAAGGAAGAATTTATACACAACCAAAGAGAAGTAAGAAACAGAGGGTACATTCAATGGTATACTTAAGTGATGTCTAGAGCAAATTCTATTTGTCGTCCCCTTCCGCTCACCTTCCCCATCACCTACTGCAGCGCTCACATTAAATGCTTTATTAATGTGAGCGATGCAACTGCATTGCAAATGCTATGTGGCAATCGTCATTCAGGCTCTTACTCACTTGATAGTAGGGGTACTCACTTGGTAACTGCCAGTTTTCTTTCTTCTCCCTTCTGATGAAGTCCCTAACTGGGACGAAATATTAAGTTTTTCTGTGTTGTGTCATGTGTTTTATGTGTAATCAAGGCTAATCTGGACTCTATCTACCAGGTAAGCTAGCTGATCCCTATTCTTGTACATAATAATCCTCACTTGATAGTAGTACATTTCTGTCCCAACATATATGAGCTATAGGCGCACGGTTGTCCCATAAGCTTGTATCTTCTGTATCTTAATTCTCTGTGACTCAACTAATTTACCCAAGAAAATGAAAATAGTTCCAGGCACTTGACAGCACACAAGAAGTTCATAACACAATTAGTTTATTTTACTTTGTCAGCTAATTTACCTTTCAAATGCATGGAACTCATTTCTTAGGTAAGTAAGTTTTGTATTTATTCCTTCTTTTTTAATTAATTCTTAAGCCAAGTGCTTTTGCCACCAACAAATTTGTATTAATTAATAGAAACTTGATACCTTAAAGTTTATTTCAAATAATTCCCGTATAAAGTAATTCACCTCGTCAGGTGAGTAGCAAGTTAAAACATCAATGACAAACTGGATCCCTCCGTTTTCCTCGACCTTCGCGCAGAACTCGTTGCGGACGACCAAGCAGTTCATGGTCATCACCAACTCCAACACCAGCTTCTTGTCCTCTTTGTGTTCTGACAAATTGTTACAGTTTGAGTTCAATAGTTCAATTATAGGTAGCTACTGTGTTGGTTCATGTTACAAGTTCTAGGTAATATGAGAAAAGTCCCCACAGGCTCATGTATTCTGTAGTATTCTACCATGGTGGGACCTTGGTTAAAAATTTTACAAAAAAACCACAATTTTTATCAACAAACCTAAAACTTTCTTTGAGTGTTCGTGAAAATTATATCAAGCCACTGTTAATTCGTTTGGTATGTAGGTTTGGTGCATCATATTTTCAGACTTTGTAGCAGATACTTTCAAACTCTTGCTAAAAAATGGTGGTGATAAACCTATTCCAGACTCTTTAGATTAATACATTAGCAGTAAAAACTCAAATTAAAGTGAAGAATCTAAATCTTCTTGACTTTGGACAAATTGTGTTTTTAAAGTTTGTGATTAAGAATATAATTCATTTGATTTTTAATGGGAAATGTAAACCAATTTATTTTGGCTTGAAATTGAAGTAGTAGCCCAACAAACTATGTGCTTAATGTTCACATTTTCTGTTAATAAACCTGTTGAAAAAAGCACTAAACGTTATTATAAGGACTACTAGCAATTTCCGACTCACGGGCCAGGAGGTTTGTGAATGGACAGAGAAGATCAATAGCCAGAGCACTAGCGTGAGAATGAGCCTTGGAGACTTCTGCTCTTACGTCATCGTCCAGTGTCAATGCTCTCACAAGTCCGCAAAGGTCCGGTATCAAACTGGCGAATAAACAAGGTTAAGTAGATTAATGACATTTTTTAATTTGAACTCTTTTATTGTTTACTAATTAACTCCCAAGAATGAACTACACTGATCCATGACTGAGTGAGGGAGTAACAAACTTCTTCTTTACATTGGGTTTACGAGGTTTAGCTATCACAAAAAGACCGGTTCTCTTAGAGACAAACAGAAGACCAAACGCTATATTGCTGAGTCGCCTGCCTTTCCCCTCCACATTTTGGCATGTTTGACGACTCTAGGCTGCTTAGTTCGGCCACAACCTTTGTTTGTATCAAATTGTGTATTTGCCACTATTGTCGGAAAAATAGTAAGCATCATAATTGAGCTTGAATTTTTTGTGAAGCTTGGTAACCGTTAAATCACTTTTAAAAAGACCCGTAAGAGTATAGGACCTTTCTTGATGTTTTCCAAGGTGCAAGAACTAATGTCTATCCGTGAGTGCTTTTGTTTAAGCAAGAGGATTTTGAGCAGCATGTTTGAATTAATTGTTGTCAATTTCCACAGTCCAACCAACTGCATAGATACTAAAACAACGATCTTGACAGATGAGATTTCCTATTTTTCAAGGACATCCTGGGATACCTGCTTGTAGCTTGCAATGTTTTTGTCATTTTATTAATGTTCAATGCATGTACTAAATTATGTAATCTTTTTTTTAACTGATTTATGACGTAAATAAATTAATTGAATTGATTTGAATGATCTTGAATATCTTCCCTCTTATCTGTTTTATGATGCATTAATATCACTCAGCAAACTGTATACATAAAATCCGCTACCAATTTAGTTCCTCCTGACACAATTTTTTTAGTTAATGATACAATTTAGTTTTGCTCTAAGAAAGGCTATAGGCTGGGATTATGATCTGCAAAATAAATGGATAGCAGCTAGCTTTCCATAGAAAAAGTACAGATAGACAAATAAGAACCCACAGAAAAAACTGAACAAAATTGACTTGACTATTGGCGAATTTCCCTATAGGGAAGTAGCTATTACTGTAGGTGGCACGGTAAGACCTAGGTCCGGGACCGATTTACTTTTTCATTTTTTCCGTGAACACGATAACTTGAGTAATTTTTGTGCGATTTTGATGAAATTTGGTTTGAAGGTGTAAGGCCAAAATAAACTTGAATGAGTTCGCGAACCAGCATGATCGGACCATGGGAACGAGGTTTTATGGGGTAAAAATTGGTTTTTCTCATTCTTGACCCTCAAAACAAAAAAAATTCCTATTTCTCTATAGAGCTTCTTAAAGAGCTTAAAAAACAAATAATTCAGTGTATCAAAGTGTTTTTGTACGGTTATTGGTTACAGAGAAAACTCAAAAATATTGGTAATTTAAAATTTCTATGTTATTTCTATGGAGAATGTTGTAAAATTGTGTAGTTTGCTTGTTTATGGATATATGTTTATCAAACTTGGCAAATTGATTGATTTTGTACTAAGCTATAATTATGTTTCATAAGCTAAAGTAACTTGAATATTATGAAGGAAAGTGAAATCACTAAGTATACCTTTTATCATTCTTCTCCACTAATGCCTTTACTGGTGGAATAACGCCTTTGTCAACTATCATCTGCAACACAGAAAAAAACCATTTAGGCTATGAGGTAACATTCAACCGCTCAGAGGTGCCCATCCCCCCCAAACCCAGAGGCGCAATCCCCCCCCCCCCAAGCCAAGGGAGTATAGTTCCCCCCAATTTATGCTGCTGTCTATTTAAACCTACCCTCCCCCCACAAATTTATCTGACAAAATTCACTTTACCTCATAAAACGAACATTCCAAGTATTTAGTATCACAAGTGTTTAGTAGTACAAACAAATCTGGTTTTTGTTTGTATTTGTATTCTAAATAATCAAACTTGAAGTAAAGAAAAACAAACTTTCTGATAATCAAAATTTAATGTTTAATAGGAAACGTTAATAACATTTAACAATACATTATTATATCTAACTAATGGATGAATTAGAATTTTTTCAATTTATAATTCAGAATCTGTAATGTCAGTCAACATGTGTGCAGTATTAGACAACGTCTTCAAAACGTACAACAATATACTCGGTGAATTACTCTACTCCAACACAGTACTGTAAACTGTACAACATATTAGGTGGCTTTGATTTTTACAGAGTTTAAGAATTCACTTTGAACTCAACAGCTTTAAGTGCATTAATAATACATTGGCAAAAAGCATCTTGTTTCAAAATTATAGGCAGAGTTACGAAATAAGACAGACTTGTTGCTCGCCCCTCCCAGGCTGCCTTCTACAAAATTTGCCAGGCAAAATACCCACAATACCTTAATTGCCACCAGTACAAAAGGTTTTTGTGACGAAGTAATTTATTATTCATTTTGATGGCCCCAGGATTGCCTTTTATGACTAATAATAATAATGATAGAAACGCATCTTGTCAGACAATCCGTTTGTACACAAAACACAAAACGATAACATATAGGCCTATCAATTCACGTGAGTATATTGCCGCGGGCAGGACTGGAAGTAAACTGAATCAGGTTATGACGGAAAGACGTGGTCTCTGGATTGTCGTCTGTGTTATCAAAAGCTGATATGGGACTAATTGTAGTGACGGAGGACGGAGGTGAGTGTTGAAAATATAATGGTATTCATAATTGAGTTTTCCATTCTAAATGATTGACAATAACAACCAATTTATATGCTGGATATAAATGATGGTCTCGAAATTCTACAGTACTGCGCGTAAAGAAATTTATTAAATACTTTGAGGAGTTTGAAATACCGTATATAAACAAATAAAACTAGAGACAGAAAAACATTTTTGAGTGTAAACACTCAATTAATTATGAATCCCATTATATTATCAACACTCTTCTCAGTCACTAGAATAGTGCAATATCAGCTGTTGAAAACGCAGACGACAATCCAGAGACCACGTCGGTCCGTCTTAACCTGAACCTGATTCAGTTTACTTCCAGTCCTGACGACGGCAATGTACTCGTGTGAATTGATAGGCATATCTGTAATCGTTTCCTGTTTTGTGTTAAATGTTTGTAACGTATTCTGACGACACATCTAGAAGTGGATCTTTTGTAAATCCTAACGACGGTGGAGTTAAAGAACCACCAACACAAGTAAAATTCGTGGTTAAAAGGTGCGTTTTTACCATTCTTAGAAGCAATCTTAATTACAAATGGTAAAATTTTGTTGGTGTTGATAGTGAGCTACTTAGAAACACTTTATCGGGCTGCTTATACAAAAATTATACATTCATTATGACAGCTAGCAAAAAAATATCCCCCCCAAAATCCCCTAAAAAAAAGCCCCCCCCCAAAAACTCCTGTGGCGCAAACGCGCCACAGTAGCCCCCCTCTGGGCACACCTGCAACCGCTACAAGATCTAAAACCATCAAAAGTTTCTTTATTGAGTTTTAAAGTTTTATTACTTTAAATTAACTATTCCCTGATTAAGTTTATAAAAATGATATTTTCCCCCCTTTTAATCCACAGAGTTCTTTTTTAACGCAACCAAACTGACAAATTCAGAAAGTCCCTGTTTTAGAGATAATCTCTAACTAAGATAACTGTTTTACGCTAGAGGTACACTCAACTTTCGATTAACCGTAATCTGCATTGCAAATTGACTAACAAATAGGTAAAATTCCAGGGAAAATAGGTAAAATTAAATTCAGATGGAGATACTGACAGTGAAAGTAGAGCCAAAAAGAGATGTTTATCTGTTTAAAAACAGAAATCTGTAAGGCTACAGATTACTTTCATAGAAATTAATTCACGGTATTGGTCAGTAGTATCTCCATCTTCTAAACATTTTATTTGATCTTAAAAACTACCTATGCATATGTTCTTTGTATTCACAAGTATTATTCAAAGTAATTCTTGTGTCTAATACAACATTGAGTTATGTTTAAATGCAATAATTTTGATCAGCATTATTTTTTAGTACTATTTGTATTTTAATACCCTTTTCTATTCAATATTATTTTGAGGATTATCCAGGAAGCCTCAACCCTAGGCCTACTTTATCCTTGTTAATCGGGAATTGAGTGTAATGAAGTAAAGGAAGTAGGACTGCACAACTTATGAGCTTGTTTTATCCCTAACACAATAACTTTCTGTAGGCTAGTTGTAATTTGGATAGTGTAAAAAAACACCTTGTAAAATACCTTCCATTTAAATTATCTAAAAGGTTGAAAATCCCCTTACACTGAAACATTACTAGAAGGTTATGAAACATTTTGCTCGAACAAACTTAACATCACCTGTCTGTTGGTTTCATGGTTGACACAACAGGTTCGACTCCACTTTAGTGTATTCTGCAGAACTTCAGAACTCTGATTGGTGTTGAGAAGTGACTTGATGGTCATAGCTCCTCGGTCATCCAGCAAGTCAGGGAAACCTGCACAGCAATCGTAAATTTAAAACACAAATACAGTAGACCCCCTCTTAACCGACCCTAATGGGACCGGACCTAGGTCGGATAACTCAAAAGGTCGGATAAAACGGGCAATCCCTAAAATCATAACATAATGAAGTGCTATTCATTTGGAATTATATAATCATTATTTTGAAGTCATACTTGTATTATTTATAAAATAAACTACTATTATCTCCTTTTTCATATTTATAGAAAATTCTCAAATAAACACAAAACACGGTTAAGTCAAATAGGCCTACTTTCAGTGGAATATATTATAATACTAGACAAGAGTCAATAAAATTCCTATTTAAATAACTTTAGTACTGAAATGTATTAATGGATGCTTTCTAAAAACATCGTAATACAGTACAGAACCTTTTGTCGACATTAAAGATACAAGCGACCATTTTGTTACAAAACAGGACGTTTATTTATAGCCTCTCATTGGAGGCTCGAGGCAAAAAACTATCTTGACCTTGGAGTTGTTAACCCCCCTTCCCTGCCTTCCCTACAAGTTGCGTTGTTTGTTTACTCCGGCGATAAGATAATCAGTAATCAGTTCTCAAAATCGGAACGTATTTTATGATGTTATAAATTTGCCGCACAGATAACAAATCAGATCAGATGTGCTCGAGCTACGAACGATGATGACAAACTGACAATAGGCTATGCAATATTTTTTGTGATCAACACAAAATAACTTATTGTTAGTCATATCCTGTGGAGATAAGCGTATGGTTCAGTTCTCATCGCCCAGCGTGGGAGCGGAAATGCCGAGATTCCTAGAAAGCGGCAGTTAAACCGAGCTGCTCTCAAAGCAAGGTCGGTTAAAACAAACTGTATTATTTTACTATCAAAGGCGGATAATCCGATTATCGGTTAATACGAGGTCGGTTAAGAGGGGGTCTACTGTAGTTGAATTTAATCAATAATAGAAGTGGGAAACTTAAGTCATCGATAACTCTCACAAATAAGAAAACCCTGTTTAAGACTTTTTAAAGAGAAAAATCTACCTGGATATATTTCAGCAATTTAAAGCAACGTATAGACAGGGACAGTAGAGACGGCAAGTTGCTGGCTGCAAGTACTGTCCATTACGTCACTTGCCGTATGTTTTCCTAAGTACTGGCAGCAAGTGTCAAGGAAAGAACTTGCAGCCAGTCTGCTTTGAGATCACAAGTGAATGGTGTTGATAGTTGAATTTAATTGTGTTTAGAATGCCTGATTGTGATGAAGAATTTTGTGAAACGTTTAATGAAACAATTAATAGCTGAATGTGTTGTTCTAGATCTGATAGATCTCCAAAAACTTGATGATGTCATCAAAACTCCACTTTACGTTTTTTTCTTCTCAACAGGGCACTCTTGACATTTCAAACAAACAAACTTTGTACTTTTAACAAACAACTTTGTCACTTCTATAAACACGATCAACTGATCAACTATAATTTCACTTGCCACTCTGCTCTACTGGCGGCAAGTGTTAGCAAGTACATGTTTTGACAGGAAAGTTCTGGCCGCCAGTGGTCACGTGACCCGCTGCTTGCTGCGGCCAGGCCAGTAAAATCAAACATGTTTGAGTTTTATTGCCGCCAACAAATACCTGTCGCTGGAAAGGAAAGTACCCCTATACACAAAGAAAGTATGCAGTAAGTGCAAATGGCAAGTACTTGCAGCCAGCTACTTGCCCTCTCTACTGTCCCCGTCTATAAGCTGCCTAAGTGATAGTGAGTTTAATACCAGCCCTTCACTTAAGCGTTTTCAGTAAGAGTAATATTCTAGGTTTAATGGAGCATGACAATGAAACTTTTGTTCAACCTTACCAAACTCAAATGTACCTAACGAACATAAATTCATTAGCCTAGTCTTGATGATTAACTAATTGTAAAAGTCACCTGTCATGAGGCTTGTAAGGGCTTGCAGACAGAGGACCATGGTAGGTGTATCATTGCTGAACTTGTCTAAGGCATCCAACAACACCGGGTAGGCCCCTTGTTTGCCTGCCAGGACACGACGAGCTAGATCTTTGGCACAATCATCCCGCAGCTGCATCAACAAGTTAGTCAAGCCTGCCGCAGTGGCACTCTTTAACCTCAACACCTCCTGAAAAAAATAGGATCTTATTTGTGCATTCTTTTTTTCAGAACTATTGTCTTGTTTGCAATGTGTGTAATGGAAGAAACCACTAATACTTAAGATTGTTGTTTTAACTGAAAATCACAAGAAATAAGGAATAGTGAGCTTTATTTTAGATGGTTAATCAATGAGTTAGATATTCTTGATAAAGTTTGGTAGGCCTATTCATGGTAAAGGGCTCTAGGCCGATGTAGATTTAAGTTGTCAAAAATAAAATCAAACCAATGAGTTTTTTTTTTAAGTTTGATATTCAAACATACAACTTATTTTTCTGAAACTTAGCAGTCCAGTAAAATGCACATGGAGAGTTTGGTGTTGTTGTAACATTTTGTTTTCAAACTTAACTACAAAAGCAAGGTGATGAAGGTTTTTTCAAAGCCAACAACATTTTTACATTTTATAAACCCTAGTTATGTTATTGTCTAATTTATGTAAACAAATTAGGTATTTCAATTACAATATATTTTACCTTTAACTGGTTCAAACAGATGATTAATGGATCCTTTCCTTCTGCCATTTCCACAGTCTTGATTATGCCACTTAAATTGACTCCCTAAATGAATCAAAAAACTTAGTTACTTTCACAGATAAGATATAGGCTAGATTACTGAAATTTACATGAAAATACAAACAACTAAACATCAACATTGAAACTATTGTTATTCACATGATCCAAAGATGTGACAAAACAAGACCTGCTGTAGGTACAGTAGTGCTGACCAGCTGACTATTATGTACCTACCTCTTGCACTTTTAAAGGAAAAGTCACATGGTAATTTAAGTAAATAGTCAATGGTAAAACATAGTAGTTTAGTGAAAACTATCTTGCTATAGAAAATAATAGTTAAAGATTTATTATGCTACTAGTCCTGAAAATGGGTGTTTACCGGACGAGTGTGGTCGTTGACTCCAATAACTATTCAAGCAGATGCGAGTAACTATTCTCTTGGTTTTTTCTTGTCCCAAAATGGGACTCAACTTCGTATCGCAGGGGATTACCACACAAATCTGATATTTTATGCCATAGTACTCTAAGCTAACAAATCTGTACAAATACTTTTATGTTCCCACCGACTTAAATACTACTCATAACCTCTGAGAGGATTTGTTTTTGTTTATAACCACTCATTGCCAAGTATAATCAGCTGGTTGCTGTCTGGTAAATACTCATTACAGTACAGTGCGTAATGAAACCCCATTTGATTAAGCTGGCGGCAAACAGCTGTCTTCTGGAATAAATCCTTGCGTGGGAAGTTGGTTGAAAAGTGTAGTATGGGGTCATAGTATATTACGTTACTAGTCCTGAAAATAAGTGTTTACCGGACGAGTATGGTCGTTCCTCCCCGTTTAAAATGCCTAAGCTACACAACCTTAACTAAGCCACAAAACTAAGGTTTAGGTAGTTAAATTACTATAGGCCTACTGTTTAACTTAAAACGTCAAAATACAAACCTGAGCTTCAAACTGTTGAACTGCTTCTTCAATTGCCTCCTCCACAGACATTCCAAATTCTTCCATGTTTTCTTTGACAACATCATCAAAAGTTTGCTGGTTGATTACTCGTACCATGTTGGGCAGCTAATCAGGGTAGACTGGATTATTTATTAGCCTACTTGAAACTGCAACAAGACTTAGAATAAATAATTTAGATTTGGGTCAGATTATTTATGAATAAAACACGTTTAACTTACATAAATTATTTAAAAAATGTTGAGTCAAATACATTTTGATAGGTTTATTGTTAGGTTAAATATGATTGCTTAAAATATGATTTATTTGGCCTGACCCCAAATCACAATAACTAAGTAACCCCTAAACTAAATGTATTTTAAGTTAATAGCCTACATTTTGCAGAACGGCAGGAACAGCAAATTTCTTGAGTAGCTTTCTGTTCCGCAGACATACTACGGTAAATATATTATTGAAAGAATTAGGCCTATTAGGCTAGTTCACATGTAAAGTGTAAATATTGACGCATCCTATCCAGCTTATGCTGGTATCAAGCCAAGGAGGAGGTAATAAGGTAATAAGGTTTCAGATATAGGCATAAGATATGCCTTAAACTTATGTTGTTTTCACACAAAATATTGATTGTGCATGTTGATGTGAAGCTCCGTTTAAGATTGTTTTGGTTGAGTTTGGGGGTGAGAAACAATAACCAGGTTGTTTGTTGTTTATTATTGTATTAGAAAGGTGACAGGGCCTCTATCGCCAGCTATCGTCCAATTATTATTCTTCTTGTGATATCTAAGGTTTTTGAAAGGGTCATGTACAATCAATTGGTCGAACATCTGGACCAGAATGAACTCTTCTCGGATTCTCAGTATGGTTTTAGGAGGGGCCGCTCGACTTCAACTGCCTTGCTTCGAGTTGCTGAAAGGATATCTGAGGCGTTTGAGAATCAAGAGTCAATTAGTCTGACACTCCTAGATCTGAGTAAGGCTTTCGACATTGTCTCACATGACATCCTTTTAGGAAAGCTTGAATGTTATGGAGCAACTGGTGTCGTACTGGAAACCCTTCAAGTCGTACTTGAGAGGTAGGAAGCAGGCATACATCACTTACGGCATACTTCTCTAGGGCCATGCTTCAGGGTGTGATGAAGTGCTCAGACTACAAAAATCTGCCTTGAGAGCCATAACATCTAGCGCTCCTTTGGAACACTGTGAGCCAATCTTTAGAAGGCTAAAGGTGCATACTGTTTGGTCAGTACGGTATATATTCTACTCCCTTGTACACGTCAGGTCGAACGTTGAGCTACTTAAGACCAGAGGAGATGTTCACAGATATAATACACGTAGCAGAAGCAAAATTGACAGCACTAGATTCCGTCTCACGGGAACACAGCGCCGTTTTCCTGTTTTTTCTTGGAAGTTGTTCAACAAGCTCCCCCCAGAGATCAGCAGTCTTCCAGAAAAAAAGTTTGCCAGGGTTGTACGAGATAGGCTTCTTCAAGGAGCATACTACTCCGTGAGAGAGTATTTTGATGACAAATGGTAGAGTACACAATCACCTCCGTAGTCACCCGCCAAGTTTTTATTTTTATTTTTGAAACTTTCAAATTTATTTTATTGAAAGATACAAGTTTTATTTTGTTGTAAATAATTGATATTTATATTTAAAAAATTGACGCAGTTTATCCAGCTATGCTGGTCAACAACGCAGCTTTGGTAATAAGGTAATAATAAGGTTTAAAGAAGACTATTCACCCTGTCCTGCGACGATTTTAGTTTAGTTTAGTTTGGCTTACACTTGGGTCTAACTTAAGTTAACTTAGGCCCCACCTATAGTTTAGTTTATGGTAACATAACATTCAATCTATATTAACATAGCCCAGTTATGAAACTTACAAACAGTTTCTTTTTATAATCAGCTGGTAGTTAAGGTGTAATGTATAATGGTAAATGTAGGACGTAAACTAAAGTGCAGTTTTTATCTTTTTTCAGATAAACATATCTGTTGGCACAAACAACCGAATGAGTAATATTGATTAATCGATTGTTTACTTTGATACAGACCTATCGTTTCGTTAGTTAGTTTAGGTACCTTACCTAACTAACCAAACGATATCGATCTATATTTTCATTCATATGTTAGTGCCAACGGATACTTTTAATACACTTTTAATACTTTCAATGAAATGGCGACCATACAAAGTATTTTAAGCCAAGTATGAATGGAGATGAGTGTTAGGATGAGTGGCGCGATCTTGAAGTCTTGTAAGCGACCAAGGCCGACATATTCCTTGGACACCGCTGTTATATTAATAGCCCATACAGCTAATGGCGACTGAGGGACCTACAGTTTATAGGCTAGTGGAATCATTTTTGCCGTGGTATATACGAATTGGTCTAATTATCAGGATAGTACTGCAGATAGTCATAATACTCACTTGTGCGGACGTGGCAACTAAGGGACCTACAATTTATAGTGGAATACGAACCATATTTTTGCCTTGTAATTTACGAATTCCTTTATTTATCAGGATAGTACTGCGGATTGTCGCAGTACTCACTGTGGACGTTAATCCACACCAGGGAGTATCGCATCCACAGTGCATGCCTCTATATGTATCCACAATTCGTGACCTCCTAGTAGCTGGATTACAGGATGACGCCACCTGGATTTGGAGTTGTACCCCTTTTTTTATTACTTTTCCTTTATCTTTTATTCTAGAAACCGAGCTAAGTAAGTTAGGTTAAGTGCGGAATTGTAGCCTAAGTTATTTTTCAAGCATAAGTTAGTCTAAGTAAATTTTTCCTGTCTCAACAAGTGTCCAGCAATCACTATGTCGAGATAGGCTATTTAAAATCATTTTAAGTTTACAGTGGTACAGTCTAACTTAAGCTTAGTTTGACCCATTTCCTGTCAAAAGGAACACAAAGATCGAACCATCGGTTTCAAAACGTCATGTTCTTTAGAATATCTAAAACTAACCTAATGCTTTTCAAAAGGTAACTTATACAGTGATTTATTATGTTATGTATTATAAAATTATGACAATTTGTTATACTTTGGCCATACTTTGTAACCTCATAAATCCTACCTACCTTTTAAGGTTATGTTGAGAGTTGTTGTTGAGTTGAATATTGTGTTGTGACAGTTGGAGTTGGAGTTGACTTGAATCATTTGAGATTAGATTGAGCGAGCAGAGTTGTTGAGAAACCCCCCCCCCCACTATGGTATGAATTCTTCTTCTCTCTTTAACATCAGCTGATGGTCTCGGTCTCGGTCTCAACTCTCAAACTCAAACATGATCAATTAACCTACAATCCTACAAACAAGTACGAGCACAATCTCCTTTATTTATGTTTTGTTTACAACATTGTCATTAGCAGAGAGTGTGTGTGTGTGTATTTCATCTGAAAGCAAAGTTGCAAACTTAACCTTGGTCTCAAAACTGACAGTTCTAACTTCCAACCCAGTCCTTCCAGCACTCACTCAGCAGGTAGGCCTCGTGAAAGATTTGATTAGGTGGTATATTATATTTCAAAATGTAGGGGGTACTAACACTTCCATATGTTTTGGCACAAACAACCGAATGAGTAATATTGATTATTCGATTGTTTAATTTGATATATCGTTTGGTTAGTTAGGTTAGGTTAACCTTACCTAACTAACCAAACGATATTATATCGATTGATATTTAAATTGGTTGTTTCTGCCAACAGATATGGAAGTGTATCCAATGTAGGCTAAGTAATTAATTATCATTTTTTATTGAATTTAGTTAAGTATATGTTTAAGTTAAGGCCTACAGAACTCCTATTTGGTATTCGAGATGGTGTTGCTTTTAGTTTTTGTTCGTGAAGATATTTTTATAAAGGCATTTGTTTAGGCTACTTTAAATAACTTCTTGATCAGCATTAAGTACCTACGTGTTATTAAATTTACGGAAAGTAAATAAAAGATACGTCTTATAACACTTAAATAAAACATATATTTACGCTTATACAAGATGGTTAAAAAAAATATAAAAAATACCCCCCTTGCAGCAAACCTGCCGACTAAGCGAATTTCCATTTGCCTGGATTGATTTTCAATTAATCTATTAAATTAACATTTATGTAACGAGTAGGTTAAGTACTTAGGTTAGCTGCTACAGAGAAACTAATAAAGTGTGTTTTTTTTATTAAAATATCAATAGCTTTAGTATGAAATAAATAAATCCGCCAAGTTTGATCAAAATATATCCATAAACAAGCCAACTAGAACATATTATAATATTCTCCATAAGAATAACATGGGAATTTTAAATCACCAATTATTAACAATTTTTTGAATTTTCTCCATATCCAATCACCATACACAAACACTTTCATTTACTAAATTAAACTTATATGTCAATTTAAAATGTAAACAATAAATCTTAATTTACCCTCTCCAACTGTGCTTTATTATATTTACTTATTCGGGATTTACCGAATCACTGCAAGAACAATCACTGCAAGAATAATGAACACATTCAACCATTTTGAAAACAATAACAACCAAATCAAAACAAATACATACTAATTTGACAGTTACAATCAGGTGATCTTTTGTTTGCAATCCGAGTGACGTCAGAATATGACGGGAATAGCACACCTACGTATTTTCCTTCCACCATGCCCCTACCCCCTACCCTGTTAAGTTAAAGGGGTTAAAAACTTATTTTGGTGTAAAAAATTGAGGAACCTTTGTTAAGAATCAATGCTACAAACAGAATATTTCTATCTATTTCGGTTTAAAAAATACAGATTTGTTTCAATACTTAATTTACATACTGTATGTCTTATTTATAGAAATATTTTAGTAGAAATGTAATCAGACAAGTTGAAATTCGCTTAGTCTGCAGGTTTGCTGCGGCGAGGGTATTTTAGTGCTAAGTTTATAACTCCTCGCTTCTTTTCCGTTGTAGATTATTGATCAATAATGAATGAGGGGACAATGAATGATTGTCATATCGCAACTCTTGATGTTGGAACATCTTCGGTCCGTTGTCTCATACTTAATAAGAGTGGCGACATTGTGGGGTCTTCCAATAAAGCGGTGAGTAGCAAAACTACTACAAATAAGTTATTAGGTAGGCCTACTAGCATTTTGTGTAAACTGCTTAGGTTTAAATAGGGTAGATTTAATCCTTAAAATTGCATTTAACACTAGTTTTTGCATCACTTGAGGTGATCTTGGAAATTTGTCTAATGTGAATCATCTGCTAAAGAAGTGGATGTAGACAACAATTTTTAATACACTTGAAAATAATTTTACTTTTCCATTAATAACAAGAATTATTCACTTCATTCAAGTTACTTTTATCTCATAGATAAAATTTGTTTATTTAGATCACTCTACTATACCCTGAAGCGGGGTGGGTTGAAATTGAACCTGAACACCTGTGGACTACAGTTTTAGAGGTCATTGATTCTGCTATAAGAGGTAGGCATAAATTATGTTTAGATGACGTATCAATACAACAAAAGCCTGTATTTGATTCTAAAAGCAAATTTACATTACATTCACTGATTTCTTCCCTCACATCAAAGTACACGGTGTTTTTTTTTTTTAACACAACCAAAATTAAAAATACTGTGAGACACATTTTATGACAAAACAAGCTTATACAGTAGACTCCCTCTTATTCAGACAACTTTTAACCGGACATCGGTTTAACCGGACTACACTCGGTGGAAATGACGTCTCTTTAACCGGAAAATTTTTATCAGCATATTGGTTTAACCGGACTAGATCAATAGGAAGTGGGTGGTACTGAAACAACTGTTCTTGTGGGAATGATTTGAAGCCAGTGGTCACGTGTGTCTAAATACAATGCTCTCCTAATTTTAGTCAAATATTTGGGTTACAGTATGCATTTAAATGGTCCGTTTTAAAGAGGTTTTGGAGACGTCGGTTTAACCAGAAAAAAAAACGTTATCGGGACTGGCTTTGGTCCTGAGGAGTCCGCATAAGAGGGAGTCTACTTTATATCCCTGTCTTTTTACTTCATAGCCAATCACCTGATATGCATTTTTGCATAGTTGGCTTTGAGCTTTGAGGTTCAGTGTTATTGGAAATTTATTGCAAATAAGACTCAACATGGTGTTTTCCAAGGTCAAAGAGCTACTGGAGAAGAATACCATTCTGATCCATAAACTGGAAACAACTTTAATATGGGGATGGAATATCTATTTCTATCAGTAGTCAATGCTTACAGACAAGAATAGAATTAACTTAACGGTACTTCCAAGTTGTCAAAAACTCCACAACTTCTGACGTCCACCTTCTGTTGTCAGATGCTCACCTCCACGCCACCGATATCAGCTGTATTGGTATCTCTACAGCCCGTTGTACCATTATTACCTGGGACAAGAGCTCCGGCAAACATTTCCACAATTTCATCACCTGGAAAGACCTGCGAGCAGACTCTCTCGTCAAACATCACAACTCGTCTTGTCTCATGCAGGTAAGGTATTTTCCTCTTCTTCTTTTCTAAGGAAGAATTGCTTAGTTAGACACCAGAGCTAAACCTAAACGCCTGTTACGAATAAAGCTTACTGTATTAAAATTGAAAACAGCTTTGTGTTCTGAAATACCTGAATGTCCAGCTGACCGGGAAGCCACAAAAAACAAAAAAAAAACTAGTGTTGTACATAAATTTTGATCACCAGAAGTCTCATGAATTTTGTTGCGTCAATTTTATTTTTCATTCAAATGTATAAAACATTTCCCCACACATCGACAATATGGTCTTTTGTTACCTAAGAACACTTTTAAAACACATTGTTTTGTATTTGTAGATGATGAGGATTGGCGCTCGCTGTCTTTACACTGTTTCAAGGCAGAAGAGGTTCTTGGCTGCTAGCGATTTGAAAGCTATGAATGTTCAGGTATGTAGTAGGCCTAACTGTAGATTAATGTGTTTGTTGTTGGGAACCGATAAGTCTAGATCCGAACTTGTGAAAAAAATCTATATGTAATAGTAATTTTATTGTTAATGATAAAAGAGTAAAACTAGGTGGGGATTAGTTAAAAGGAAATTAGGCAATAAGATCCCTCAGAGTGTCCGGCGATCGGGAAAACCGGTAAAAGTGGGAATTATTCAGGAATATTTTTACTCTGAGAACGATGCGGGAATTATACAGAAATTCTGTAATTATGGCAGTAATGTGCGCAAAATTAAAAGGTAACAGTCTAACTACGATAAGATAAGACAGGTGGTTACCAAATTAATTGCAGCGATTGTGATAATTATTACATAGGCCAGACACCACGCTCTTTTGCAAAACGTTTTAAAGAACACATCCCCAAGAAAACCACGTCCATACAATCATCAACCTTTGCAGAGCATTTAATCACAAACAACCAACATCAACAACATCATCATGTTGTTAGCTATTCCAACATCAACATGACAACATGACATGACTGTTCTACATTTTAATAAAAACAAGTTTCAGATCAACACGCTAGAAGAATTAGAAATTTATAAGGCAGTCAAATCAGACATCCAAAACGTGCTAAACGATAAGCTTTCATTTGCATCTAATTTTATTTACAACACTACAATAGAAATAATGGAAAGGGAGAGGGAGAAGAATTAAACCCACAAACAACCTGTTACTGATGAGACGCACCGACCATAGTGCTCGGCAGTCTGGACGTAAACTCCCACCGGTCACGTCGTTAAAGCTAGGCCTAGGCTTGCGTGTTACGTGTTTTTTAAATGTTTTTATGTCATGTAAATTATTTGTGAGCTTTGACGAACTTCGGAAGAAGTGACAATGTCCTTGGAAAAACCTGAAGATGGCTCCATTGTGAGCTGAAACTAGTTGTTACACAACCACTTTGATTATCAACATTACAGGTATTTAAACCGCTTTAATTGTATCTTGATTCGGAAAAAAATATATATATAATTTCTCACTAGTGGCCACCCTTCCCCAACCTAACCCCTACCCCAGCTAGAGGCCACATAGATGGGCTTTGCTAAGTGGTGATGTGCACATGTTTTAAGCGGCTTTGCGATTTGCGTGCTTGCGTGAGTTTGTGCACCCTTTTTGTTTGTATTGCATATCAAATATATTCAATTTGATTAATTTTTGCTAAATTTTCCCTAAAAAAAAATGCCTCAGAGAAAAATGGAAGTTATTTGGTAAATGTGGGAATTCAGCCAAGCCCATTTGCTGGACACCCTGTTACTGAAACTACTACTAAATTTATGTTGGTGTTAGGGTCATAAATGAACCTGTAAACATGGCTGAATATCTCAATAGGCCTATAAAACTTAAGCCTACTGACATATAGGAAATATTTAATGTGCCAAATGTACCTTTCTGCAATTACAAGTATATAAATGAACTCGTTGAAATCAGAAAGTCCAGCTCAATTGCAATACTTATCTTTTAGCCTACTAATAAATTTAAATTAATAAAAAATATTAGGTAATAGTGATTCATTACTCTGACTGGAGATTCTTATCTCACAATTGAAAAATACTACACAATAGTAAACTATGCATTACAGACCAATTTCTTTATTAAGTAATGTACCAGAAATTGTATAAAAACCTTCACTTTAGAATCTCTATCTGGCAATAAGAGCTCTAGCAAACCACTGGTAAAAAAAGAACAAATCTCCCCAGATTGTCTGCCGCCTGGAATGGATTCTTCAGGAGATGCCGGAAGTACGAGAGGCGGCCGAGGCAGGCAGAGCTGTCTACGGGATGATAGACTCTTGGCTGCTGTACAAACTGACGGGTGGCAAGCTTCATGTTACTGACGCCTCTTGTGCCAGCGCCTCGGGAGCTTACGACCCTTTCACCATGGAATACTCGGCTCCTCTCCTCTGGATGTATCACATTCCTCGGTCAATGATGCCAACGGTGTGTGCTTGGTTGTTGGGTAAAATTGAGATGGCTAGAATTGGTTGTGAGCACATTTAGTTGGTTTAAGATTAAAAATAGAATTTGGGTATAGCCATAATTTTATGGTTAGAGCAATGACTAATTTTCTTGGACAACAATTATCGAGCAAAGCACAGTCACTAATCACTGTAAAGACAGAAAACTCCTGCCACAAAATATATGTTTTTCTGTTCAATTTATTTTCATACTAGTGACTGACTATTTTTGAATTGTTCATAATTTCACTCATGCACTTTAATTAAAAATTCAATAATTCATCAATTTAGTGAAAAAGAACAGGAATAAATTAAGTTAGCGCAGCTGTGGGATTTTAAAGTCTTAACAAGATGAAACATTTGTTCAGTTAGCTTAGGAGATAAAAAAATAATTTAAGTGCAATATTATATTTGTCCCACCAGGTGTGTGATTCTGCTGGAGAACATTTTGGTTCCACGGACGCCAAGCTGTTTGGTCAACCAATACCCATCAGGTCTTCTGTAAGTTATGTCAAGTGCTTGTTTGATTTCCTTATTAGTGCATATTTGGTCAGAGTCAAACACAACACAATCCCAATAACATTTTGAAACTATTTCATTATTCTCTGTCTTTTGTACAGAAAATCAAATCTAATCTAATACATAATAGGTTAAGTGCATTTTTAACCTATACTACTTTAATTTACAATGGTTAATTTATCTAGACGTACTACGAAAAAAGTTATCCTGTATTGAAAGAAGTGTCTTTAAATAATAAATAATATCCGTTTAATCACAATTTCTTAATCATAGGATTTTTACTGAAAGGGCCTTCTGAATACTAAGATAGTTAAAGATGAGTTTGATTGTTTGTTTTTATTGCTCACTCTGTTCATTTTTCCAGGAGCTAGAGATAAAAAAACATACTTTACTTTTTTATTTTCATTGAAATGGCGACCCCTTTTTTATTTAAAGATAGGTATTTTAAGCCAAGTATGAATGGAGATGAGTGTATGATGAGTGGCGCGATCTTGTTACTGACTAAGGCCAAAATGTTCCTTAGACAGGACTGTTAATTAATAGCCCATACAGCCAATGGCAACTAAGGGACCTACAATTTATAATGGAATACGGACCATATTTTTGCCACACCAGGGAGTAGCGCATCCACAGTGCATGCCTATAAATATCCACAATCAATTTAATCAATTGGGCGACGTCACGGTCCCAGTTTTTGTTTACTGTGTTTTTTGCAAGTTAGATAATTATGTAGTTTAATTTTTCAGTTTTGTGTTTAGTGTGTAAGGCGGTGCTGGTTACATTCATTACTAACTGATGATTTTCCCACAAGCTAGGTGACCAGTCAGCATCCCTGTTTGGCTCTTGTTGTTTCAAGGAAGGCGACACCAAAGTTACTCTCGGCACTGGAACATTCCTGGACGTCAACACTGGACGGAAACCTCACGCTTCTATATCCGGTAAATAAGCTACTCAACACTTGCATAACTCACATTTATTTTAAATTATACGTAGTGAGGGTATTTTGCCTATAGAACATTTTTGTTGTCCACTATTTGCCTTTCTTATTTGTGAAAATAGGCAACAAAAATCTTTACAACCAGTTATTAACTTGATTTTATTTGGTAACAGCATAATTTACTGTATTATTAGTTTTACTGTGCGGAGTATTGCTTACAAATTACAGAAATGCTCTTTTGATAGTTTTGGTTTTTTTTCCAGGGTTATATCCTGTAGTAGCTTGGAGATTCAATGATGAACTTGTGTATATGGCAGAAGGGAGCTCGTCGGATACTGCTTCCCTCATCCATTGGTTACTCAACATGGGTAGGTGATAAACTTTATATTTTGTTTTGTGCTGTAAAATTATAAAAAAAAGATATTAAATAAGTCAACATTTCCCTAAGTACTTAAATGCATAAGTAGGCCTACGAGTAATTGTACTCGATTAACGCGATTTTTCATTTTTGTTTATGTGATTGTACATTCATGCCAAACACAATATCTGAGTTAATAGTTAATTTTGTTTAGTATTACATTTTAATGCTTATTCCCACGTTGATAGTGGTATTTACAGAATGAAAATATTATGAGTGAAAAGTTTGATTCATGTTAGAAGGGGTTCAGGAATTGATTTTTAATCTAAAGCGGCAGTTTTAAATAGTGGTCTTACATTACGTGGTTTCAACTTAGCCTAAATGTAATTTACTGTAGAGAGCAAGGAATACCGGTGCTTTCAAATAAAAATATTATCTTTATAAACTTATTTCCAATTCCAATAAAAGATTAAATAATCGTTTGATTATCTTAACAGGTGATATTTTCACACAGCGGATGTTCACTGTGAAATAGGAAACTAGTTGTTCTAGAAGTCACAGTCTGGTTTATTTAAATGACTTTCATCTTTGCATGTAATATCTCAAATCTTGATTCACCAGGTGAGTAAGTTACCAGTGCATACACTGATTATACAGTCATCCTATAACCTCTGGAGTATATCTAAGCACTTCATACGAATGACGGTCTGTTAAGTTAAAGCAACTGGTTTTTGCAGGTTTGTGTGGTAGTGCATTGAGACTGCTCGAGTAGCTACCTCAGTACAAAATTCCAATGGGGTTTTGTTTGTTCCATCTTTCTCAGGAATCAATGTAAGTCTTATTATTTTTCATTTACAAAAATGTTTTACTTTCATTATATGCTATAAATAACCTTATAAATAAATGCTGTGTTTAATTTATTAACATGAAACCACAAAACTTTTATTTTTTAGCTCACAAAATACCAGATATCTGCGGTGGTGGTTGTTGGAATATTTTATGAGTCCTCTTTAAGGGTGTCTACAACTTGTAGATAGGCTACCAACAACGTCCTAGAAGATTACCAATTTTT